TACTATGAAATATATGAGGGTATCCTGACAGTGATGACGCTATTCGTGGCACGGAACGGGTAGCACTTATCTTGAACTACGAGAAATATTTCCCATTGAGAGTATAATTGTCATTAGTGCAGTCTTATCATCTTCAGACAGACTTTGATCTGTGCCCAAAAGTCCTCCTCTTGGTGATATGGGGAAAGAGTGTCCCACCACATGGACTGCAAACCACACTATGTATTTACATCCAACCCCTCGATCAAATCATCTTCACCCAAATCTTAGATAATGTGCCTACCTCCCTCCGGGTGATCGCTTAGTTCACAGCTCCACTGGCTTTTGCCCGATACAAACGACCCTAGTAGCCACCACAGCAGCGCCAGCCGCAGCTTCCAGCGATGCTTGGTGAACGATCTGAGCGAATTCTTTCGCTTCATCCACCTTGCCCTTCCTGGCAAGTGTTCGCGCAGTCTCTTCGCAAGTCACAATATATCCCTCGCAGTCGGCCTTGAGATACTGCTTCAAGTTTTCATATCGATCAATGCTCGTTCGCTTCAGTCCCTCTTGTTCAAAACTCTGCGGAAGACGACCAATCCATTCCTGCCGTTCGCCGGTGTCCCAAAACCGAGAAAGGTATTCCAACGCTTCGATCTTGAGTTCGGGGTTGGCTTTGAAGATCTTTGCCTCTCGGATGTTCAGATCATCCCATTGGATCCATCCTCCGGGCTTTAGCATGCGGGTGATCTTCTGTATGACTGACGAGGGGTCGCCATTCTGGATAACTGGTAGGAGTAGTCGGAGATGTACAAGATCGAACTGTCCCACTAACTCTTCTGGTAGGTCTTCGAAGATATTCCACTGCCGCAAGGTGATATTTGGTGGGAGCCACTCCACCGGGGGCGCCATGTCGAGAGTCAGATCGAGCCCGTCGAGGGTCGCGTTGGGAAGCTCCTTCGCCAGGTCTATGAGCCAGATTGCTGTGCCTGTGGCTACATCAGCGATGCGGGGATTTGGGGTCTGCAAGGACTCCCGGATGGTCGGGTGGATATTGAAGCCGAGGTGCTCTTTCCAGAAGTGAAATATTCCATTGAGTCGAAATGCGGCTGCAGTTTCGCTACCAAGGCCGTAGCCGACGTCGTCGGTAACGCGATAGTCGAGCTCGGTTTTGGAGGAAGCCATAATAGTACTAGGTGTCTTTGATCCTTGCACGTTGGGGAGTGGTTTGGTTAGCAGGGGTTCGGGGCGAAGGTCAATGATGCGGTGGCTGGGGGATGCGCGCCGATCAGTGTGCCCGACTTTGGCAGATAAGAAGTCACTAATGCACCCGCACCCAATATAATCACACGCAAGTTAACTTGAACCATCAGCGGTGAGTATCTAGAGGTTCACGATACGTCAAGTGTTCAGCGACAGACTCCATCTCATAAAGAACGCGCCCTTTACGGGTTGCAGCACCCTCCAACACAAAGAAGACGGGTTGCGCCCAGTCCTGCAATTTAGTATTTTCTTCTCTGGCGTTTCTTTCCCCAACTTCTGATTAACACGACCAAACGTGCTAAATGCTCCATGGTCCGTTGTTAGCTATGACGTCCAGAAGGTTGGGTGTGCGAGAGATACAACACCATCTGCCTACGGCTTAGGACAGGGTTCGGGTGATTCTGCCGACGTGGAGATAATCTGAAGACTGGAGCGTCTTTACGCCCTTACTCAGATCTCTGAATGTGAAGGAGGGCCTTGCAAGAAATCAACACTGCAGCCTTGAGCAATTCTCTCGGCGATTGAGGAATTGATGTCCAGCGGGCGCAAATTCTGCCAATGATCAAGTTGAACGTCCAGGAGTTCACCATGCGTGTCATGCGATGCAGGCGCTCAGATTGTCTAGAACCCGTCACAACATATACTATTCCTCTGGCAGTTTCACTGGATGGTGGAGCTCCACTAGACGTTAACCGAAATATCACATCTGAACCAAGGACGGGAGCAAGTTATGCTCCGACGGTTTTCTTCCGGCGCGACGAATAACAAGGGCGGATGGTTTGTGCGTCATCGGCTCGGGGATGGCAGTGAAAAGCATCCACAACTGCCCGAATTTGAGCCTTCAGTGGCCGAGGAAGACGGATGATCTGACTAAGCGGCAGTTTTGAATCGGATGTGCAGCAATCATTGCCGTTTCGAGACGTAAAGAAGCTATACGCAACCACTTCTGTTTTGTTCTGCGCCTCACCTCGCATACACATTGCTTCGGTTCAGGTCTGCTTCGGAAACACAATTGAAGGTGTATTCGGCGGTCCGTGCTTCAATTCTTTGCATAACTCCACCGTTGCAGGGGAAAATTCGGACAGCGCGGAGCCCGGACGAGATCACAACCAGACAAACCCTGCCATATTCCACGCAACAACAGCCTCCCGTTGTCTACCTTGTCGAAGAGATTACGAATCACTACACAGATAGAGTGTCAATGACAGTGACTAAAATTCAGCCCTGGCCTTGGCTTGCCAGATGAAACCACTGAGCCACCATCCAGAATCGGCGGAAACAACAGCCAAGGCGCGAAGAATACCCCAGACCCGCGGACGCTGTCCGCATCCCTGATCTGATAACGTCAGACGCTCCATGTGTACTAATTGCATGACAATGATTCGTGATGCGTGCCGATCATCCACCTTCCAGGGTCAAGTTCCCTGAGCTTCTATCCTCCGCTGCGGATCCACGTACGCGGCGCCAAGAAGCTTCCATTGCCCAGCCGGCATCTCGGAGTCCCTCTAGGGTTTCCAATTGCCGCCAGGGTACGCGATGACGAGTCCTCTGACAGTTGAGATATCAAAAATCTTCGCTAGGGAGTCAGTACGGCTCACAGGGTAGCCTGACGGCTACGCCAGTATGGGACTGGATGACGCGGCTATAGCAGAGGCATCAACAATGTTGAGCATAAATATCAAGGCCCTCAGCCACGACTTGAAGGCCATCAACAGCACGATCGCAGCTCAATCATCCCGATCAGACAAATAGCTTCATCATGCATTTCTCCAAGCTCCTCACTCTCACCGCGGCCACTCTGGCTTTCGCCCACCCCGGCGAGAAACATGACCATGAGGCCGTCAAGCGGGAGATTCGCCTTCGAGATGCCCTCGCTGAGCAGGCCAGACACGGTGTCAATGCTTGCTCCAACAGCCACCAGGCTAGACAGGTTCAGCAGCGCTCCGTCTCCCGCCGCGCTAACACTGCCCGTGAGCTGCGCTCCAAGAGGGGCGTGACTGCTGGTAAGCAGGCCTGAACTGGCAAATCGTGATTGCATCGTCTAACCAGAGATAGCTCCCCACAAGTTCCGCCGGAACCTCGCGGCTCTCGAAAAGTGGGAAGCCATCAACCACAACAAGACCGGCCTCCTTGACTACTCCCCCCAGACCTCCGAGGCCGACATCTTCGGCGCCAACACCAGCTCCATCCTCACTCCCACCATCACCGATGGTCCCTACTACGTCTGGGGTGAAGTGATCCGTCAGAACGTCAAGGAGGATAAGTACTGTGACGGTGTCGACCTCTTCCTCGAGGTGCAGTACATCGATGTCAACACTTGCCTGCCTGTGCAGGGTGCTCTGGTCGACATCTGGAACGCCAACGCTACCGGTGTTTACAGGTATGGTGCTTTTTTTATCCTATCATCCGATCATAGCTAAGTATTTAGTGGTATCTCCACCAGTGGCAACTACGCCGCCGACGGCTGGGACTCGACCTTCCTCCGTGGTATCCAAGAGACCGATGAGGATGGTGTTGTCACCTTCCAGACCATCTTCCCCGGTCACTATGACGGCCGCGCCATCCACACCCATCTCCTGACTCACCTCAACTCCACCATCAACCGCAACAACGGCACCCTCCAAGTGGGCACTGGCAGCGTCGCCCACATCGGCCAGCTCTTCTGGAACGAGGTCCTGCGTACCGCTGTTGAGAACACCTACCCCTACACCACCAACACTCAGGATATCACCAGCAATGCCGACGACATGTGGAGTGTCGAGCAGGCCAGCAGCGCCTACGACCCCTTCCCGGAGTTCCTGTACCTCGGTGACAGCATTGAGGACGGTCTGTTCGCCTGGATCCAAATTGGTATCAACACTACTGCCGACTACACCGACAACTCCTACTACAGCATTGCTGCTTACTACGATGAGAACGGCGGTCACGAGAACTCGGACAGCGCTGCCATGGGTGGTGGCTCTGGTGGTGGCGGTGGTGCTCCTTCGGGTTCCATGTCCATGTCCGGTGCTATGCCCTCTTCTACCAGTGCTTGAAGATTCTGAAAATCGCTAAGCGTGCGTCTACGGGACGGGAATTACTTTCTACTGTAACAACATTTTTCTCATATATTGTATTAAGCAGTTAGACAATAGACTCTTCACTAGTCTTAAATCAAGTGTCGGGAATACTATACCCCATCTCCGATATCGAACAGCCTCTTCCCTCCTAAATGATGTAAATCTCGCTCTATATCATAACACAGAGTATGGATCGCAATGTATCGACCCGAGCAGCCCCTTTCACCGAGACGAACTCTCGGCAAGAGTGAGCCCGGAACTATGCCCCGCCGCCGATAGAACAACCAAAGCGCCCCTAAAGCCTGACAGCGTGCTCCATCTGACCGACTATCAGCAGCTGCTGTGCAACGTGAACGCTCAGACCCGTGCAAATCACAACAAATCCTGTCCATCAATTCTCTAACCACGTATGCTAAGCTTTTGTGCTAGTAAGCACTATGTTGTTAGTTGAAGCTTGGACAAGAGGCACCATGACTGAACCTGCTGCACGGGGCGCGGCCAACAATCCGGAAAATCCCTCAGATCCCTGTCGAGCCCCCTTCAGCCCTATCGGGAGGGAGGATGCATCCCTGTTAGGGGCCAGACGGGCTGATAGCGTCATTTCGGCCTGCACGATGACCTACTAAACTGCGACAGTAATTTCCCCCGGTGCGTGCTCACCTGATTCTTAGCGGGCTAGCTCGGTGTGCTGGGTTCTTCCACTTTTTCTCTACAACTATCTGCTTCCTTTGGCGAAGATGGTCACAGTGGTATCCTTAGAACATTCATGATGGCACCGCGAATTCACATTCAAGTCAATCAACAATCAGGGAGAAATTGTACGTCGTCGGATTATGCAGAGGTACTCTCAGCAAACAGCAGCCATGTCATCACGGACGGTCACCTTGACGGCAATGTCATTGTATCGATGCCAGACAATGAGACTGCCAGTTCATCGCAACAGTTACTCGTCGAAGTGACCTTTGAAGGTAAATGTCCCATTGAAGAAATTCTTCTCTGGCTTTAACCCGCTATACCAGGTCATCTATCAACAGCAGTCAATCTGAATGTCTCAACGCAGCTGCTGCGACTCGCAAAGAATATCACAGTAAAATGACCTTGCGCCCTTCTCGAGAAGATCTTTGTATTAACTTAGTTCAGCTCCTCCGAGCATCCGATGTGCGCGAACTGGCACAGCAAAACACTGCCAACACTTCACGGACCCTCCTACACCCCTTCCACTTCAACATCCCCCGATCCGCCAACTCCGTCTCGTCCGACGAATATGACACTACTCTCCTACCCCCATCTCTCTCCTTCAAACCCGTGCCAGTCTACAACTCCAACGATCTTATACTGCGCGGGCAAGGCCGCATAGAATACTTTCTCAAAGCCCGACTCTTCGACCACGAAGAATGCATCGCCGAGACTGAAGCGCCAGTAACGTTTGCACCGGCTCGAGAATGTGCCCCTCCCATTTGTATTCCCGACTTTCCTGGCGAATATACCCTCGCATCATCACGAAGTGTTCGCGATAGATTACATCGCCGCGATCTATACTATCTATCTGTGCAGACGAAGGAACCTGCCCCGCTGTACCTAAATAATTCGGGAATGGTGTCTACGGTAGTTCCACTAAAATGGCACTATCGCTGTCCAGATCCATCGCAACAACATGCAGATGCCCCCGGGATATATGCCAGCATTCAGACGTCTCTTCGCGCGACGACATTTGTTTCTGTGTCTCCGCAAGATCGACTCCCATTAGAGGGGGACGCCAACAAGTTGCTGGATTTCAAGCTTGTTGCGAATACGACGGGGACGGGTTGTACACAGGTGCGGAAGTTGCGCATCGCATCGTGGGAGGACTGCGGTCTTAACAAGCAGGGTACGTTATGCGCTCTCGGTGACTTTTATCACTCCTGACTTTGTATGATATAACAGACCAACCGACAACATACCAAGCAACTACCCCCCTGATCCTCAACTTCGACACGCCCGATTACCTCCCTCCTACCTTTACTCATCCGTACATCTCCCGACGGTACAGCCTCTCCATCTTCATTTCGGCCGATGTCGATAACTCGAGGAGTGCGAATTTGCGACTGCGGGTTCCCGTGCAGGCGTCGTATGACAAGGGCGAGTGTCCGACAGAGTGTATGGATGAGCCATTCCCATTATATCCTGAAATACTTCCGCCCTATATCAAGTGAGGGTCAGGCGTACATTTTCGACTTAATTTATAATCACACCGATAATGAGTTTAATATCATACTCGGCCGATGGAATTGGGTTGCACTGGTATACCGGAGTTTGCTGGCCCTCGTGCATTGACTGCAGATATAGTGTGTAGCTCATTAGACTAGCAGAGGAATCCAGGGTAGAAACATCCGGATACCAGCAACAATGGACGAATAGCACTGTTTTCCTATGCACGAAGCATGTGTTGTAGGGTGATTCCGGAATCAACAACTGGCCCTACGGCTAATCGGCAAATCGGTAGCCATTTCACCATCGCATCGCTCAGCCCTATGCGGTGCCAGAAGCGGGGTAAGTGATTGATTGGGTGTATTCCCCTTGACCCCTGTCGGGATTAATTTCGGGGCTTCCACGGAGTAATGATGCATGTCCTTATCAGCCACTCATAATGGGCGCGTCAGGGTCTGTTGACTTTGTCCGTCACGATGCATGAGACGCAAAAGCAGTTACGAAACCTCTACTAAGACACCCGTCATATTATGAACCATGCAGGAAGCAAGCCATGTGAAACCCGTACATATTTCGAAAATCATCTTACACATATCTCACATACTATCACATCATAACACATACAAAGTCTCATCCCAAATACAGACATGTAATCTACAACGACAGCACCAACTCCCTCAACTTCTCGAAATCAGGAAGCCCCAATCCCGTCACCGGATCCCATCCGACCGTGGCATTCCAATGCGCCCACGGGATAATGCCCGCGCCCGCAACAGCCTCATCACTCTGCGGATCAATGCCATTGCACCCGATCGACTGTCCCGCCGTGACATCCGTCAGCGCCCTGTACCCCTTGCTGTACAGCAGGGGATTCAAGAAACCCAGCGTGGACTTGCCCGCCCGCAGCCGAGCATCGTTCAACATGCCCACTAGCGCAGAGAACAGAGGACATGCGGCGGAAGTACCGCCGGAGCCGTAGCGGGCGCCGTAGAAGATAACCTCATAACTATATCACATTAGCCCCTATTCGTAACATTCTCAGGTGGGGAGTTTGGCTTACGAAGGCTCAAAGCTATGGGCCGAAACATCGGGAAATCCGCGACCGCTAAAGTTAGCGAATTGTGAGTAATACTGCTTCGTCTCGTTGGTGATGTGGTGCGCCAGGTAGTTTTGCACAGCTTCCTTCTGGAACCAGGCTCGCTCAAAGTAGTTGCTGAAACCGCCGGAACTGGCTTCCCAGGCGATTTCGGGCGCGTAAGACATGGTGCCTCCTACGGCGGTCACGTAGGGACAGGTGGCGGGGAAGATGGGGTTGAATTGGGTGCTGTTGGTGCCGTCGGTGGTGCGGCAGCCAGATCCAATTCCTGTGCTGCTGTTAGCAAGTATGCTTTAGTGGACGATGATGGTGAGGAGTATACCTTCGTCACCGGATGACTCCAGGACGCTGATGCCGCGCAGGCCGACGAGTCCGATCAGGTTGCAGACTCGCTTGGCGTAGTATTCTGGAACGGTCTGGGTCGGTTAGTATGTAGCTATTTGGGGACGATGTATGGTATTACCTGTTCGTCGTCGCCGTAGGAGTTGGAAATCACTTGGGGCAGGGCCGAGTTGGGCTTGGTGAGGAGGTACTCGTAGTATTGGAGGTAAGGCTCATTCTCGTTATCGGCGGCACTCGGCTCATCGGGGTCGGGAATGAAAGGACTACATAATTAGCATCGACTAGATTCATGTCTAAGGAACAATGCTCACGGTTCGCCAGAAGTGATAAACTCCGTCACTGGCAAGGGATGGCCCACGCCGACGAGCAGTTCCACATCGAGATCAGCCTCGGTCAGGGAAGCCGTCGTTTGATTCTGATCATTGACGCCGCCGTTGATCAGCTCCACGGAAAAGTTCTGAGACGGCAAGTTGAACAGTCTCTCGAACTTGGCAAGATCGGAATACGAGGCGGACTCGTTCAGGAAGCTGGCGAATCCCAGCTTGCTTCCTGACGAGGCGCTGGGAGTGTAATTGCCAAAGTTGTACATCTCCTTCAGGCAGGACAACGTGATAAGATCGGCGCAGGACGAGCTGTTAGAGCGTTTGGCCACATGGCTGTCAATCTTTTGCGCCCGTTGGTTTAGACCAGCGCTGGTCTTTTCTTTCCCGAAGAAAGTCGTCGGGGAGATGAGGTCGATCGAGTCGACCAGATCATGGGGAATGGAGTACTCCGTTGTGCGCAGTCTTTGAGAAGAGCCGCTTTGGTAGTAAGCAAAGGTGGTGTTGAGAAGCTTGTTGACCTTGTCGACAGTGGTCGCAAAGTTCACCAAGCTGCCCTGTCGGGCGATATGTGTAATGTTGGCGCTGCGCAACCAGCTGATCACGGCCTTGTCGCTGGCCACTGGGAACAGCGTGTCGACATCCTCCTGATCCAGCCACTGGCCGTACTGCGACTCACCAGGTGTGGACAAGTCCTTCAGCTTGGATTCAAGCTGATCGAGGTTCTTCCGTGCCAGCGCGATCGACAGGCTTATCTGGTGGTCGGAGCCAGCATCTTCGAGATGGTGCCAGCCCGAGGGGACCGCGGCGAGCTTTTCATGAACAACCGCGTTGGTCGATGCGGCCAGAGAGCACAGCAGTGCTGTGTAAAGACCGGAGGAACGCATGCTGGAGAAATTAAGAGGGACAACAGACGAAGAGTTCGAATTGACCGCTAGGCCGGCGAGACGGACATTATAACTTTTCCAAGTCAGACAGAAGGGACGGGGGACTGGCCGCCCTTGCTTATCGGACGAGACAATGGCATCATTGCATGTCTCCAACTGCTAGCCGACTGGGTCAGTTCGGACCGGCCGGTACTGAAGAAAAGCTGATTTGTCGAGGGAATACTGCAAATGCACCCCAGAGCGACTGGCGTCGGCTGTTGTGATAAGCAATGGGTCTCCAACCCTGATTCCCACCCGGAGTCCGACGGTGATCGCCGGGATTGAGTTGTTGCAACATGTTGCATGTAAACCACGCCATGCTGCGATTGATCTTGTAAGACAAATAAATTGACAATGACTCAAACCCATTTAAAAGCACTGCTCTCGCCTTTTCATGTCTTTCAGAGTATTTCCGACGCCTGATAAAACTGCCGTGGCTGAGGAATACCTTCGTTGTTTTCTTCTTCTAAGCGATGGCCCTAAATTAGCGCCGGCGAACAAGCATCGGTGCCTCCAGATCATCCACTTCTAATGCCCGCTACTGTACCGTCGCGTCCAATAGTCGCTCTCTGGGACCGTGGGTCTGAACTCAGGTTACCAGCGGACAATTCTCGCGGCTTCTCTCGGCTGAGTCCCTCTTCCCCAACGATCCCTTGAGCTTACCGCTGTCGATGGCCTTCGCTCAACGTGGGGTGTCCAATCTATCGTCGGAAATTGCCGATACCAACCCACATGCGCAGAACATTGAGTAAAACAAGACCGTAATATGAGTTGTCTTCATGTTTTGCCAGAAGCTGCCAACTTCCCCAATATTGCCTTATCACTTATTGATGCCACACCCAGGCTGCTCAGAAACAGAAAGTCAATTTCATTCACTACCTAGATAAGCACACCCTCACAATCATGATACTACCGCGTAAAGTCCACCCTTAGTCTCTTCAGACAGGCCTCAACAACCCGTCGTCCCCTAAGAAGGATAGCAATAAATGCTCCCGCTTATCGTACCAAAATTCTGGAAGAACCGGCTGTTCTCATAGCAGTCACTCCGGTATCCCACCGTGTCGTAGTTTCCGGTGCATGTCGTGCTTCTACAGGAGATGATCGGTCAGCTAGATAGGTCACGTCTATTTCGGAATCGGGAGCCATACCCATACTGGCGACAGCCGACCGCAACATTAAACTGGGTTGACCTGTTCCTCTTGTGTCAGAGTGGGCTCTGTTTCAATGATGGTCGGTACTATAATATATACCCAGTTTGGTTCAAGGGGATGCAGGATTCGGAGTAGATGGGTCTTGCGTCTACAGTGCAGACGCGGAATTCGCTCGTGGTGCCCTAGCAGTATTCCAGTCAGATCATACAATTCACTGATTCATTGTGAAGAATAGTATTCGGAAAGTATACATACGATTTGGGTCTTGTTCTGCGCCATCACCGCAGTGATCATCGTGAACATAATAGCCTTGGCGGAAACCATGATGCCGTTCACTGTGTCGGAGATAGAAGGATTAGATTCAGATTATTGTGGAGACTTGACTTTCGATGCTGAAGGTCTTTGAAGGTTAAAGAGGTTTATAACAACTGCTGTCAGAGCTAGGCTTGTCCTCGAGGCATCTCAGTACAGTACATTCCAATGATAGGCGCTATCAAGTCTTTAAGTTACTGGAATGTCCCCGATACAACAATGCCATTGTTATGCTCCAGTGCAGACCGTTGAGGCACATTCCTCTAGTTTCAATATACGATGGCTATTAAGCGTTGAATATGAATAGCTATGGGACTCTAATTTCTCGGGGTTACCCTGCGTTGTGTGGAGCCATTGGTGGATATGGCGCCGAAGAATGCTGGGCTCTGGCGACTTGCTGTCCAGCAATTCAAGTTCCGTAGCTGATATGAAGAATTTGAACCTCGCCGGAGTGATTCCAATCTTCTTCAGGGAGATTTATTGTAGGAAGCCTTAATCGTACTTTTAGTATGCACTCAAGACCACGAGATTGTATGTAAGTGGCGGGATCTGTGTCGACTGCACTACAGGTGAATAAAGGTGTTGCAGAAGATATTACCATAGTTTAAGATATGCACATGCTTAGGAATGCAGGCCTAATCGCAATTACATTCTGAATATGGACGTCGGTCAATCGGCAACTCCCAATGCATTCCAGCTACCTTTCATGGTCCAAGGTTTGGCGAACCTGGGGAAAGAATGGCCAGGGTCTTAGCCCTTCGAGGTTCTAGACACAGAGCAAGGTAGAATATGCTATATGCGACTCTTGTTGATTAACATTGCAGTTACCTCCTTGGGGCCTGTCAAACTTGGACCAAGTGGAAAGGCGCTGCTACACACAGGGGACTATCGATAATTGGCGGGAACAACTGCAGATAAATTATGTGCCTCTACTAATA